AGCTAAAGAACTTAAAATTTATAAAGCAAAAGGCCCATAAAAGAAGATATTCCACGATGCACAAGTGATAAGAATTTAACCACGAACTTAGTTTGGCCAAAACAATAACCCAGAAGACAAAAAACTCATACTATTTATTTAAAAAAAAAAAAGGTCATTTAATCAAGAATGACAAATATGCACATGCAGTTAAGCCTAAAATTAATCATACCTGGGGACATTTTGTAAATTTTAAAAATACTTTAATCAAAAGGAAATTTTTTTTTCTTACTCCAGATTGACATATAAAAGAAAGAAAAAGTGGAAGAGGAAGACAATAATAAAGGATGAATACGAGGAAAAACTAATTCTCATTTACGTATTATTCGCAATTTGATCACAAAAAGGCATGTTTAAAATTATTTATATCTATATCTTACAGAATAAAAATTAATGAAACGGGGAAAGATTTAAATTTTGTCCCTCCCATTAGTGAGTTCCATACTTCCTTTAAGACAAAGATAAACAAGGTCAGTCTGGTAGTGCACTGTGCTTTAGGACCGTACTTAAATGGAGAATAGCATCTAAAATCTTCATTTCTCTTCAAAAGAAAAACTATGGTGGAGATTAAAGTACTTAGTGAGGACCTCAGGTTAAAGATTAGGAGTATCTACAATGAAGGGAAAAAAATCTACAAAACTAATTGCAAACAATTTCAATGGCCTGTTCCAACAGATTAAGAAGCATTAAGAAATTCAAAAGTATCCACATCATGAAAAACTCCAAAAGATAAGCAAGGAACCCAATGTATAATCTCATGTGGCAAGAAAACTTCTCAGTAACATCAAGAACAACCCAAGGATCACCACCAAGGATATTTTGGCTAATAGGACTGGTATGGAAACACCTTAGCAGACAATCTAGCAAACTTTACATAAAGCTAACTTCTATAGGAAACAATAAAAGTTACCAATGCTCCAAGCCTAGCATATAAAAACTGAAGTGTTTGCCAAGTGTCATCTTAAAACAAGGATTCAAGCTTTTGATCAGATGAAACAAATACTGAGATACATTTAAGTTTCTTTTGTTTGGCAAAAAGCAGGTAAAATCTTCATCTCAGATTCCTGTTGCAACAATCAAAGATGGCGACAGCATGATGCTATGGCAATGATTTTTCTCAGCCAGTGGGTCTGGTAGCCTGGTTAAAATGGACAGTCTCATGTAGAAAGTACAGGATATTCACATTTGGGACCAAAATATCAAGCCCTCTGTTGTCAGAACATCAACAAATCTTCTAATTAGACAAGGATGTAAGACATGATTCATTAACAAAAATGGCAATGTTTTAAAATGACAAAGCCAGAGTTCAGATACCTTTAGCACATTGCATTTTCTCCAGAATGGTCTGAGAATTTGTGGAGAGAGCTGGAGACAAATAATGAGGAAGCTTTCTTGCCTTGAGGGACTGGAGACTTTAGCAAAAGAGGGGTCCACCAAATCCCTTATTGGAACTTGTTGAAAACTGGGGATGAAGTTATAACTGGTTACAGGATGTAATAGCTAATAAAGACTTTACAATTGATTATTAAGGAATGAATATGAAGAATGTTTGTCATGCCTCCTATAATCAAATTGCAAATACTTAGATGAAATTTAGTTTTTCTCCATATTTCTCATGTATTGTTTATTTCACTTTTGTTTGTGTCAACTTGGATCAGGAAAAAAGTCTTTTAATGGAGATTTTTTTTTATTTTTTTAAAGTCACAAATTTTGTGTAGAGTAAAAATGATTTCAGGTTTAACTGCATATAAAAGCAGCGTGAACAGGCACATAACTTTTCAGAGTACATTAATCATATACAAAGTGCACACGAATTCTGATTCTAAGCATAAGTGCCAAACCATATATAAATAGGCCTGCTATCTTTTAGTAGTACAATGCTATTTTGGGGGAAAATCTATAAATTTGAATGACTATATATATATATATATATATATATATATATATATATAAAAAAAAACTCAAGTAAAATGTTTGCCAAATGATCAGTTTATTAACCATTTTACAAATTTACTATGGAATGTACACATATACAAGGATTGATTGATAAGGTCTCCAATCCTATAAAACTAGTTTTAGAGTTTTACATAAGATAGAATGAATATACTGGTATTAAAATGAATTAAATTTATTTCTCTTCAAAATTATAAGTTTTTTTTGTTTTTTTTTTAAAATGGTCATTATTTTTCCAAACGATGTATCCATTTTTTCATTCTGTCCATTAAGAAAGTTTATAATTTACTAATGATTCACCTGTACCCAAAAATTTCAACTTTGAATGGAAAGTATTGATTTTTCAGCACCATTTTTAATTTCTGATGGTGCCAAATCTGAGTTGTCCTGAGAATATGCAACAGCTGAATTACAGGATTCTTATTTTTTTTTTTTTATGCTGTTGATTGCAATGCAACCTTGCACTGTCTTGATGCTAAAACAATTTCTTTCAGTTTTATTCTCTGAAGCATTAATTCAGTAATCTCAAGATTTCATTGTTTTCCTATGTTTGAATTTTGTTTTGTGTATAACCTATTCATGTCCAAAATCCCGTCACTGATTGTTGCTTTGTATACATAACTTGGAAATAGTACTCATGACTAACCAATGCCATATCTCAAAGCTAACATTAATCAAGTTTGAACAGGATTTCATATACAACCAAGTACATTATTAGTGACACCACAAAGCAGGGGACCTTACTTATCAATCAACCCTTGTATAATTACAACAATTTTATCACTTCCATCATAATTTTCCAAAATTAAGATATATCTATTTACTAAGATTAGTTTTGTCTGACATATCAAAAAGAGAGGGGTGGCCAGTAATAATCAAACTCACCAGCAATTGTCAGTTTAGCTTGTTAACCATTACTCTACAATAGGTGTCCTCCCAATGACTTATTTCTAATAGGGATAAAACCTGTGACAATTATGTTTAATGTTTATTTCTGGCTTGAAACATTTTTTAAAGTACTCAACGCTAGGAAAGAGAAAGCTGACCTATTGCACAAACAAGTTGTTGATTATATGTCCTTGTGAAAGAATGGATAAAAAAAAATAAATAAATAAATACCAGTTTTAATTTAAAGACTAACACAAAGCCTTAATACTTAGAAACTGCAACAGTTGTTCTTAATTGAATCATCATATTCAAACCAGAATTACATCTGACAATTTCTGCCCATTTAACTACTTTCCACTTCAAGTAATTCTCTCTCCAGTAGTGATTCCTGCTTTAAGAGAATCTGCAATTATTTGATATCTAAAAATGTATCTGGAATTACTTCAAGATATGTCAAAAGGAAAAAAAAAATAAATAAATAAAATAGCAAAAAAAAAGAAAGTCTATTCATTAAAACACTGAATTATGAGAAAAAATATATTTATAAAAGTAGTTCCCTTTCTATCTTGGGATTATAACTTATCTTCATTGGCTAACCATTGAGCCTAATGATAAAAAAAATGCTATATCAATGTATGGAATTTTCAACTGTAAAATAATGACTAAATACTGCTTTACATAAGTTTTATTAATATTTTTTCAGTACTTCTTTATTTCATAGATGCTCGCCAAAGCCATTTTTTAATTTGCACATTTACAAAATCAATATTTCAACATGTCTTTTTAGATGCTAAAATGTGCAGCAAATTCCAAATATAACTTCCTGGAAACTGAACCAGATTTTTTTTTTATTATTATTATTATTAACACTAACTTGACAATGTCATAAAAATTCTTTCTCTTTACATTATTTTAATTACACAGATGTTTTTTTCAATCACCAATAATAAAATCAATTTAAACTCAACACTTTATGCACCTTAAAATCTAAAGAACACTGTTTTAATTCATAGCTTACAACAAGAATCATCTTTTTATTTTAAATTCATGTATTCTAGTTTGTGAGTAAATTCTAAAAATTTCTTTTCTGTGTACATTTCCATATAAATTCTATTTCAGTCATGAAATCTGTTTTTAAATTCATTACAATTGGTCACTATATCTTACAATTTATCTGGGGGCGATAAACATTTTAATCGTAACATATATTATTGCACATTGATGCATAAAGTATAAAACTAATGAAACATTAAGAATTAAATTGATACATTTGCCTAAATAGTAATACATTTTTCCAAACAATTATCCAGAGTCATATCAAATTGCACATCATAAACCAATAAGAACTACTTTTTTACTCTTATTATTTTCTTGTTGCAAAGATAATATACAAATCTATAAAAAGAAATAATAATGGTGTGAATTTACAATCAGACAACCTAAAGAACATTTCTAAACATAGCTTCAATTCCTGACTAGTTATTAGGCATGACAATGTATTTTACAAGTAATAGCAGGACACTCATATCTGAGTATGCCTGTCTACTAGAGCAACTAGTAGAAGGGATACCTGCTGCAGACACCTGCTCAGGTACATGTCTGTTTTTTGAGACCCACCTGTAGATTATACTGCAACTATGCTGAGCAGACCTTTCTGGAAGAGAGCGCAATCTGGTATGATTAATAGTCTGAACAAGGCCAGTATGCTCAAATCCTTAGTCACAATGACTTACTTTGTCATAGCACTACCCTCGATGGCTACCAAATGGTTAAATCTACCCAATTTCACTCACAAAGCTTGGGTCAACCAATAGTATGGTTTTCGGGCACTTTCCAAAGGCCCATAACATTAAGAAGTCACTTTCCTGACAAATTGACCATGGTGAGATTCAAACCTGGGTCTTATGGTCAGAAAGTGAACATTGTAACCACCTGGCTACATGCCTATTTTTTACAAGTAAAAATGCAGCAAAATAGTTTTTCATTTGCTTATGATCTGGAAAGTAATCACAAATAAATTTTTACTTAAAAAATATTCCCAGTATTCTGAAATGAATAAAAAGCCAAAAAATACTGAATACATTTATTTGGTTACACAAAAATGATGATAGTGCACTTACCCCAACTCCAGGCCGACTCCCGAAGTATACTGACTCCAGAGTGGAATGCTCAGGTCCTTTGTTTGTCCATGCTGACTTGGGAGGACGAGGTAAACTGATATAAAAGAAAGGGAGGTGAAAAAATTAATTAATTAAAATTCAAAAATGTTATTTAGTTTTTAGTCAACAATTTGCTGTGACATCAAAATGACAGTATATGTGGAACAGATGTATAACAATCACTTCCAAGTTCTTACAGACTACATTTCAGTATAAGGTTTTCATTACTCCCAAAATATTGAACAATTTTTCATAAACATTAGTTTTTTTTTTACCTCTCTTTTCATTAGTTTTCCTTAATTTATTTAAAAAAAAACAAAAAAAAACACTACACTAAAATATATATATATATATATATATATATATATATATATATGACACATTTCTAACACTTGCAATTTCTTTTAAGCAGATCATCTCTCCAGCTGTTGATACTATCATGCTGTTGTATCATTACACATCAATAATGTTAACTCTTTTACAAACTATTTCATAATAGGCCAACTGATGTTATACTGGTTCCATGAATCTGACTCAGTAAACGTTAAGGATTTTCAGTTTAATAAATTACTTATTTCTTTATTAAATCTCTACCTGCATTTTTTTTTTTTTTTATCTCCAGTAGGAATTTTGGTTGTTCACATTTCTTAGAAAACAAAAACAATCACGTTTTGATTCAAACATTTTCCACTGCTAAGATAGAGATAAACAAACCAGACAGTAACAAGGTTCATTCTACATGATTTTTCCAATTTTATAATAATGCTTATTAGAAATTGTACCTTCTCAGGCTAACATTTTTCAATGACAATTATATTGAATAAATTGCTAGGTCTGCTCCTAGGAAAGTTGGTTCACTGTGTTGTTCTAGACCATTTTTATCGCCAAAATCTATCTTACACCTTTATAAGTCTACCATTCATCAATGCATTGAATATTGCAGTGCTACATCTGGTCTAGTGCTTCTGATATGCATTTAAAGATTCTTGACAAAATACAAAGAAACTGCAATGTTATTGGTCCAGAACTAGCATCCCAGCTTCAGTCATTTTTCTACTGGCATAATATAGATTCCCTTGTGCCTTTTATTATAAAAATTTTCATGTATCTGTTCAGATGAACTTTCCTTTTTGGTACCCAAACTTTATGAATTTAAGTGCAGTACTAGATTGACAACTAGGTCTCCTTATTTTACAGTTTAAATTGCTAGATATAACCATAAGTTCTATGCTAACCATTCCTTCTCTTGCACTTATAACTTTTGGAATTCTTCTGGCTTTCCAGTCAACTTTGATCTTCATTTAAATACAATGCCAATTGTCACCTTTTACCTATTTTGAATCCTGTTCTTTTACTATCTTCTCTCCTTAATGATTTTTCTCAGAATCTTTCACTCTCAGTGATTGATGGAATAACCTGCCACCTCCATGAGTGGTGGCACTATAGATGGTAACCACCTATAAGTATCCATTAGGACAGCAGACAGGAGAGTCGAGTTGGTATCTGCGAGACTAGTGGCCTTCCAATAGCAGCACGCACACAACTGAACTGATTTGCGACAAGCGTGAACATAACTATTACTTTCTTGCTTGTTGTACTGGTTTCTACAATAAACCTGATACTATTTATCCACTGTGTTTGGATTCTATTCTACAGCCCTTCATAGATAAAATAATAAACAGGAATTCCTAAATGATTACATTTTTTCCCACTATATATTATTCCACATAAATTAGAGAAAGGCCCTTTTTTCTCCCTTATTTTTTCAATGTGGCACTGTTATTTGTGAGATCTTCTCTAACTTAAAACATTCTTCAATATTTATGAAAAAAATTCAGGAAGCATTTACAATAAAGAAATATTTCTTCCAATAATTTCAGATACCAATGTACCTCAGAGAAGAACCAAGTGACTCAACCTAATTCTTTGCAGTTAAACCCAGATGTTCCACAAGTCAAACTCAAGGACTTCCTGTGGCTGCTGAAAAGAAATTATAACAAGTCTTCAATCAATTACACATTAAGAACACTTCCATGTTTGCTCTTCACTTAACAAATAATTAAAAAGCCAAGGGAATCTTGATATAAAAAATATAACCATTACTATGTGTGGAGACTTATTTTTGTTGTTTTACCTAAATAAATACTCAATGATTGCATTAATTATAATATAAAATTACCCAACTTCCCCTACTTGAATCTTTATGATGAATTACTTCAGATAAGATTATGTGGGCCTTTTACTTCAGTTCACTGGGTTAAAAAGAGAAATATGTTTTTATTTTTATAATTGTGTTCTCAAAATACAATTTGTTTTATTGGGTGGGGGGTATATTATGAAATTGTTTTTCTTTTGTGGCTTTTTTTTTCCTTATTTTTCAATGTGTTATTACTTGTGAGGAATAAGGAAGTATTCAAAAAAAAGCATGCATCATCTTGAGACTCTTCAATATTTATGGGTAAAAAAAAAGAAACAAGCATTTACAATGAAGAAATATTTATTCTGATAGATTGCTAGTTGCATGCCTATGTTAAAAAAAAAGAATAATATTGAAATCACAAAAGTAAGTCTTAAAGATTTAATCCTTTTATTAAAATTAAAATACACTGAAGAAATTTTAAACATTGATCAACAGATAGCTTAACTTGAATGTCTGTTAAAAAATATAATAAAATTCTAATGCTTTCAAATAAGAGTAAAAATGATAATAAACCCTTATTACTATTATAAGGTTTCATTCTACCTGATTTTGAAGCCGGGTTTCTTAAAATATCTCATGCCTGCTTTTATTTTTAAGAGAAAAAAAATCATTCAAATATTCAGATGAATTCACCTATTTTTAAATGTAATCTTTATAGATATTTTAATACTTTGTATAAGATTTCTATCTTTACTTTTGTTTCTTTCACAGAGCTCCTTTTTAAGATTAAAATGCTATATAGGATTAGAAATCTATATTGATTACATGCCAAATAGATTGCATGTGAGTAAGTGCATATTAAAAAAAATATGTGCACAGTCAGCAATTCCAAATATTTATGTATTTTAACCTTGAAACAAAGTATACTTTCATTTAATTCGGAAAAAACGTGAAAAGATTCAGCTACTCTCACAATTACTAGTATGAATTTTACAAGTGAGTGAATCTATACCTAGGACCAGTTGGAATAGGAATTAACTAGATGTGAAAAGACTAGATAGCAAAGCTAGGTAATTTGGATTTTATTAGTATATTAAAAGTACCCTGAGCTTTTGTTTTTTTTTCTACTTAAAATGGAATTTGTCATTTTGAATTTTGGGAGAGTGAGATTTTAATATTAATTAAAAAGCCAGGTGTTTGGATGTCATCAAAGAAAAAAAACTAAAAACAAATATATCAGCCTAAGGAAAATAGAATTATCTTGATGCAGTGAAACTTACTTAGTGGGTAGTTGGAGAAAAAATAACCCTGAGATAGAATCCAGATGGGACTGGTTAGATAAAAACTGAACAAAGATTTCTTTGGAGACAAAATGATTGCTTGCTGTTTGTTGATCATTAGTTTTTCCTGTTCATGTGATAGGCAGGTAAATTCATGAGAAAATAGAAATAGGTAAAAAAATGGATGCTGGAAAAATTATAATTTTACCACTTAATTGGTTGAGATCTAGCTGGTGGTGTAGCCAGTATGAACCCACCCTAAGAATAATAGTAAGAAACTTTAGATCCAGTGGGCATATGAGAGGTGGGGGTGAACAAGTCAGATTTGGATAAGCTTGGAAAAATTGCTAGGTTTCAATAATAATCAAACTGACACCCAGTACAGACATGCTGGGATAGTTCAGTATAAACAGGCCTATTCTGGTCCTTAAGGTAGTTATGACCCATTTATCAGTTCACTTCATTTGATGCTTCAAACATCTTTATCAGATCAGAAACAAAAATGCATGAAGAACATAACTGAGACTCTTAATTCAAAAAGATGAGGGGCTTAGTGTTATATTGTAAATGTTTACACTATTAACTATGTATAATAATACATTTAAATATAATTTAATATCATTCTAACACTAAGCAAATTAAGCAATAAAATACAGAGTGCGATTAATAAATTGTCATCTAAATTATGAAAAAAGGAAAATAAAACTGACATCTCATTTTATCAGATATATTTACCAAAAATGCAACTCTTCTGGATGGTCTCCTTGTTAAAGTTAGTGAATGCTGCCATAATCCTTGCTTTCAGTTCATCTTTGGTGTTACAAGGAGTTTTGTTGGACTCTCGCTCAACTGTGCTCCACACATAATAATGAAGAGAGTTGCAGTCTGGGGAGTTAGGTGGCCAGATGTAAGGGGTGGTATGGTCGCAGAAATGGTCTGACAGACATGATTTGGTTCTCCTGCTTGTGTGCAGAGTCCTGATGCCAGACACTGGGTCTTTCAGCAGCCACCTTCTTGACCCAGGGCAGCACTACCACCTGAAGGCACTTCATGTAGGTTTCCATGTTGAATCTGAGGCCCTGTGGGAAGATGAATGGAGGCATAACATCACCATCACTAGTGACCACTCCAAACACCTTCATAATCACCATTAGACTCATCTAATTTTTTCCAAATCCTCTGAATTGTCCTCAGATTGACACCCAAACACTCTGAAATGTTTACATTGGAGCTTCCAGCATGAATGCCAAGGAGTACAGAATGCTGTTTCCAAATTTCTAGCAGAGTGAATTGTGTCATGGTGCTCTTTTTCTTACAGACAGTGCCCAACTGACCCTACTATACTGTATAGTTGGCAAAATCAAAAACAACAACATGCAGGCACAAAATCAAAAATATATAATGTCAACAATTTACCTATCACACCCTGGATAATTTAAATACATCTATCTTTCTCCATAATTCAGTTCTTTGGAATTTGAAGTTACAAGGCCTTGGACACAGTAACTATTATTGCTTCTCTAAGTGAGAGGGCAACTAATTGACTAAGAAGTCATTTTAGCTACCAACTCAAAACAGCAGTCTCAATGCATGCCCAATCTTACATTTCCTCCTAGCACTTAAAAATCACTTGAA